ACCATCATCATCATCATCATCATCATCATCATCATCATCATCATCATCATCATCACCACCATCATCATCATCATCATCATCATCATCATCATCATCATCATCATAATCATCATCACAGCATCACCATCGCCATGACCATCATCATCAGCATCATCAGCATCATCAGCATCATCGTCATCATCGTCATCATCATCATCATAAGCATCATCATCATCATCATCATCATCATCATCATCATCATCATCATCATCATCATCATCATCATCATCATCATCATCATCATCATCATCATCATCCTGCAGCCCTTCCCTCCTCTCCCAATTCCGCCCCCCCTCCTCCCATATCCGATGGACCGACCCGCCCTCTCCCTTGGCTCCGCCGCGTGCATCGGCCCTCTCTCGCGTGGCTTCCTCCTGGGCGGTCCTACGGCTCCCTGGGGCTCTCCAAGGCTCCTCAAGACTTCCAAGACGGTCCAGAAAGGCCAACTCGGCCGCCAACATGGCCCAACGTTGCTCGAAGATGCACCAAAGAGCAGTCCCAAGAGGCCTCCGACAGGCCACGCATCAGTCGCAAGGCGCTCTCCAGGAGACCTCTGGGGCTTCCAAATTGGGAAAGTTCAGGGGAGGAGAGGGGAGGCGAAAGGAGTGAAGGGTGCGGTGGATGCGGGTGCTAGCACTGTGATCAAGCCTCGCATTGTAGAGCTACGGACGCAAGCGCGAAGATCGCCCCAGAGATACCACTGGAACTAAACTCCACTGACTGGGTTTGTCTCTCTCGTCATTGGCATGCTTGTTTTCTGTTTTGCCCGAGGACAGTCAAGCGGACTGCTGAGATGAGAGCCTTCAGATTAACAAATGGGATGTTATGGGTTCGGCCTGGATCTCTCCGGAAATTGCGATCCTCACATACCAGGAAAAAACTCGACCATCGAAACTCGATCCATCCACAAGTATCCGGCGCCTCGACTTGCTCGAGTCATGAGCCCTCAAACCTCTCGAACCCTTCCCCAGGGACGGCCTTGTAGGGCCCGAAACTGGCATCCAGTGGCCTAAAATGGCGAAAAAGCATCCGCCTCTACTTTTTAGAGTCGCGGAACATAAAAGTCCGTCTCCGCCCTACGGCCCAAAACCCCAACTCCAGCCTGCACCGCCCTCCTCCCCGGCAGCTGCTGTAAGCGATCGACGTTATATCCATACCCCTGCTCACGCCTGGAAAGTGGGATCTGGGCATGGATAAGATGTGGCACCTGGAAGCCAGGTTGCTATCCATGCCCTGGATCCTCGGCATCCAAACCCAGAACCCCGAAGTCGTGAGTCTTCACGACAGCTGAACCCCCAGAGGTCTCGCCCTCCCCCTGGAGCTGGCTCTTCACCACAAGTCGATTCTTGACGGCCCTGGGTGCCCGGCACGAGCCCCTGCAGGCCGAGAGTGTCAAGAGCCTTTCCATCGGCGGCGAGCCCAGAGGGGAAGTGAGGAGGGGCGGGGCCTTCTCAGAAGGCTCGGAAGTCCCCGGGCCTTCTGAGAAGTCTTCGAACCCTTCCCCAAAGACACAGAGCACCTGTCGGAAGGCCGAGGGCTCCTGAGAAGTCCCGCCGCCTCCTGAGAAGGCCTTCTCCTTCTCGCTTCCCCCCCTCGCTCGCCGCCGATTCCAACGTGATCTGCTCACAATGGCGACCTGGAGGGTCGGAGGGAGGCAGCGCAGGGGAGTCGACGCAGCCCCGATGGCCGGCGGGCGCACAACGGGGCCCCCGCCCGACGAAGCCGCCGCCGCCGCCTGGGGGCAGTCCACCTGCGGGTGGCCAGCCGGTCCGGCGCGGGGCGACGGGCGGGGGAGCCCTCGTGGTCGTAACGTCGTCGTCCTCTTCGCCGTCGTCGTCGCAATCGTCGTCGCAACGTTGTCGTCGCAGTCTCGTCGTCATAACGCCGCGTCATCGTCACAACGTTGCCGTAACATCGTATCGTCGTCCTGCTCCTCCTCCTCCTCCTACTCTTCCTCCTCCTACTCTTCCTCCTCCACCTACTCCTCCTCTTTGAACCGTTCTTACCTGTTTGACCCTCCGGTTGCCTCTGGAAGCCTGCCGACCACCCAGGACTCTGGCAAGCGTGAGTTTACGCTCAGCCGAGGTTCGATGCGCAGGGGCCTCTTCAAGCGTGACACCATACAGGATTCTAAGCAGGAGTGCCTGTCTGCAGGCGCGGATCAGCTCGGGACTCTGCGCGAGGAGGCCTCCGCAAGCGAAGATTACCCAGGATTCCACGCGAAAGGACCCCCGCGAGCGTGATTTTCTGCGGGATTATATGCGGCAGGGCCTCTGCGAGCGTAACTGTACCGTCGGACCCAGGACAGAACAACATCCCTGAAGAATATGAGACCCTCCGCTGGCCCAAACACCCCGAACTATAAGATGGTTCGAGGGTGTCCTCCTCCAGGATGCACAAGAACATGAGACAATCACGAAGAATACTAGGGTACCCTTCCCGAGCCGACCTCGATCTTATACCTCGGTCCGACCGTACTCCAAATTACATTCGGCCCGTAACATAAGGATGCGCGATTAGGATGCAACAAGTGGGACGCACCATCAGCCCTGCCAGGGACGCACCATCCGCGAGCGCGCAAGATCGGAATGCACTGGGGGAATTGCGGGGGCACACGACTGTCCAGGCTTGGAACGCAACATCGCCGAACGGGCAGGCTCGGAATGCACTGGGGACGATGCTGGGACGCACCATTCTCTGCACCTGGAACGCACCGTCCTCGAGCTTGCGTGCTCGGAATGCTAGACGCACCACCCTCGAGCGGACCCTGTCAGAATGCACCCGGGACGCCTGGGACGCACTGTTGTCCGGCCCTGGGACGTACTATCGTCTAGCTAGCAAACACGGGATTTGTTTCTGGCGCTCTGAACCAAATCACCAAGGCCGGTGCCGAAGAACCCCCTGGACGGGGTATGTGGTGTCGGTGAGCCGCCACCGTGCCGTAGGCCGTAGGCACTCAGTGGAGTGTCCCCAGGTCTAGTAAAATCTTCTGTTTTGAAGATCTGCCACCGTGCCGCGAGGCACGACGCCGCCGTCCTCATTCCTGAAAGATTGAAAACTTATGCCTGGCCCCAAGATTCACCGATTCTTTTGGGCTTCCCGCGTGTTCCTGGGCATTCTCGCGTGACTTTTTCGGATGCCAGAGGGCCTCAAAACAGGCCAGGAGATCTCCAAGGTGCCTCCAAGATGGTCCAAGAATGTCCCGAGACGGCCCCAGAGCGCTCCAAGACGCCCAGGATGGCCCCAAGACAGCCCAAGAGGCTCCCGCCGAGAGGGAGCCTTCACTTTGAAGGAGAGCCAGGGGGAAAGGGAGGTGAAAATGTGGTCGAGGGTACGCGTGAGAGTCTGCAACCCCTCAGGGGTGGTTCTTCGGGCCAGGGGGGCCACCCCGACAACAGCCCACCCGGCCTGTGGCTCTGCGGCGGCGATGCCCAGCGACACTGAAGCGGCCAGCGCTGGCCCCCACGTCGCGCGCATGGGGTGCTGACCCTGCTTGTTGGGGACTCTTCGGCCCAAGGGAAGAGCTTACGAACCCCTCCTGGCCGCGCGGTGGCGCCAACCCCTCTGGAGGGCTTTATCGGGCATGCGCGTCGGGTGCTCATTCTGGGGACCTTCCTGGAAACACTCGCTGCACTCGTGCGTCGAAGCTGCGTCGAACGTCCGTCGAGTCGAGTCGACCCTGAGTCGATCGTGAGTCGAACCTGAGTCGAACCTGAGTCGAACCTGAGTCGGGCCTGAGTCGAACTTGAGCCGAACTGGGGTCGAAGTAGAGTCGAACAAATCCGTCAGGTGGGCCCGGGAAAAGTCCCAAAACGAACATCTAATGTGTGGCTCCCGTGAGCGAGCCCCCTCAACAGAAGCCTAATGCCACCGCAAGTCTCTGTGTCACTGTGTGTGCGCATGGGGGGGGGGGACCCCGTGGGGGCTGGGCTCTTCGGGCCAGGGGAGCGGCCCCACCCCCCACCCACTCGGCAGGGAGAACTGCCTCCAGAGCAAAAAAGAAGGCGACCACCGCGCCCTCGCAGAATTGAAAGAGGGTGGTGAAATCGCGGTAGCGAAGAATGCCGTGACGTGATGTCACCCCCTTGGCAGGGAAAACTGCCTCCAGAGCAAAAACAGCCGACTACCTTTTTGGTGGTCCCCATGCCTCTGGTGTGGGGCCGGTCTCTGCCCACGGCCGTAGGAGGGTTGGTGGAAAGCCCCCATTCTGGGCCCAGGTGGACCTCTTCGTGGGGGTGGCCGGGGTTCTGGCAGAACCGTCGGCAGCGAGCGGTGGGGTGAGCAGTACAAGCACGATGGGGGAGGAGAGTGCCTGGCCCCTACAGACAGCCCGTATCCTGAGGATGCACGATGAGGATGCAAGGGCCTCGGCGGGCCATTTCGAAGCTTTCCGAGCGGGGCGCGGCCAGCGAAAGCGGCCAAGGATGGGCCGAGGAGGCAAGGATGCAAGGGTACCCTTGGGAAGGTTGCCCATCCTTACTATGCGGGTCGACTGTAGGGTGAGCAGCACGAGCACGATAGGGGGGGAGCGCCTGGCCCCTACAACGAAGAGGCCATCCCACGCGACCATTCGCACACGAGATCTCTGGCAAGGTGGTTTTGCATGGAAAGGGAAAAAGGAGAGGGAGGAGGAAGATTCTGCAGGACTCGACAGGCCGAAGAGATTCGAAGCTCGAATGACGGCGGCGCGGGAAGGCTGCACCTACCCGCAGGCGTACCCAGGGCGACTAGGTGTGGCCTCGACGAGAGATGGGAAGGGAGGAGGGGGGGAGCGAAAAGGAGGGAAGAGGAGGAGGGGGAGGAGGAGGAGGAGGGGGAGATGCTGCAACACGCTGTCCCGTCCCCTCCTCAAAAGTCCCTACAAGCCTTCACGTAGCGCCCCCTTGAAAAAAGCCAGCTTTGTATGGTATGAAACACATGATCAGAGAGCTCCACGATGAGTCCAGCGAGACCCCACGTTGAGAAAGGGCCGCCCATCAATATGACTATTGCTCCAGCGAGAGCCCGATTTTGAAAATGAATCACCCTCCATCAGCGCATCTTCTTCATGAATTCAAATTCCTAGTACACGGGCGCAATGGAGTCTCAAACGAGAGCACCGTGTTGACAAAACCGTCCTCCAGCCCTGCTGCAACTGTTGTGGGCATGTAAGACGAATGCGTGCGGTGCTAAAGCGAGAGCCCATGTTGAAAAGGAAGCCGTCCATCCCTGCAACTGCTGCGAGCTTGTGAGATGAATGCGCTCGGCGCCATGGCGAGAGCCCCAATTCGGGACAAGAGCCGCGATAAATCCTTGAGAATAATGCAGGCTTGAGAGCGAATGTCAGCGGCGCTGCTGCGAGTTCTACGAAAAAAGTGTTGTCCCCCCATCCATCCTCGTAACTGCTGCAGGCTCTTCAAACGAGCGCGTGCGGCCCTCGGGCCAAAACCCGACTTTGAACACGGCCGCCCTTCCACACTGCTGCGACGAATATGCGCGGTGCTCTGGCGGCAGCTCCAGCCCTCCTTGTGCACAGAGCTTGCGCGCTCGCTCATGGACCCCTCGCTGCGCACGTTGGCCTCTGAAGACCGCCGAAAGACAGCCGAATACCGCCAGCGAGCGCGCCCCGCCGCGGGCGCTGGGGTCCGACACGGTCTTCGGCGGTCTTCGGCGGTCGTTCGGTGGTCGTTCGGCGGTCCCTCGGCGGTCTTCGACGGTTCTTGGCGGTCTTCGGCGGTCTTCGGCGGTCTTCGGCAGTCTTTCGGCGGTTTTTCGGAGATCTTCGGCGGTCTTTCGGCGGTCTTCGGTGGTCTTCGGCGGTATTCAGCGATCTTTCGGCGGTCTTCGGCGGTCTTCGGCGGTCTTTCGGCGGTTATCGGCGGTCTTCGGCGGTCTGGACGGCGGCCCGACATGGTATGCGGCGGTTTTCGGCGGTCATCGGTGCGAGAGCCAAATACTTCGCGTTACCAAAAGATCTATGATCGAACGCGTAAAGAAAACTACGAGTTCCAGACAAAAACTCCGTGTTGAAAGCGAACACCCCCTCCACTGTTACATACACACATATATATATACACATACATATTTATATTGGAAGTTGTTAAATCGAATGTTTGCGGCCCTCAAGCGACGGCCCCAAGTTGATAAACACCCGCCACCTTGGATGCTCGTTCTGGGGACCTTCCTGTAGACACTCGCTCCTCTCGTGCGTCGAAGCTGCGTCGAACGTCCGTCGATTTGAGTCGCCACTGAGTCGACCCTGAGTCGAACCTGAGTCGAACCTGAGTCGAACCTGAGCCGAACTTGAATCGAACTGGGGTCGAACTAGAGTCGAACAGATCGGTTAAGTGGGCCCCAGGAAGGGCCCCAAAACGAGCATCTAAGCCACCCACCCGCGCAACAGCTGCAGATCTCAATACCCCGGACAACAGATGCTGCAGAAATCTAGAGAGCGAAACGCCCGGCCCGCCGTACCGGCACGCCGGGAGGTGCGACAGGGGCAGGGCATCGGCAGGGGAAACCGGGAGGAGGAGGCAGGGAGAAGGAGGAGGGGAAGGGGAAGGCAGGGAGGGGGAGGAGGAGGCAGAAGGAGGAGGCAGTAGAAGGAGGACGGGGGGGGAGGGGAGGGGAAGAGGAGGCAGGAGAAGGAGGAGGTGAGGGGGAGGGGAGGGGAGGAGGGGGAGGAGGCAGGGAGAAGGAGGAGGGGAAGGGGAGGAGCGGCAGGTGGGGCCCACGATGGAAAAGGGAAGGAGCGCGCGAGGGCGGGAAGCCAGGGGCGCCTCCGCCACGGTTATGAAGAAACGCCCGTGGGGCTCGTAGCTGTCGCTGACAGGGAAATTCTTGGCCACCCACGCGATGCACCGGTTGTTCGTCGGGTCCGCCGTGTCCTCGCGAAGAGAAGAGGCGGAGCGACACGAGGCTCGGGGCTCCACGCTCTCCTCCACATTCGGCCCCCGGGGGCCCGCTTCGGGCCGCGGGGCCGTCGCAAAGCAACGCGGGAAGGAGCGTCTGCTTGCACAGGCCTCGGGAGGTTTCGGGGGTCGGTTTCGGCGGCTGTGGGTCGCTGGGGGGAAGCGCAGAAGGCGCCGATGCACCACCACCGCGCCTGGGGCCCTGGAGTGGCGTACGTGCCGTCTTGGCCAGGGCCAGGAGGGTCTGGCCAATACAGTCGGCCTTGATTGGACAGGACAGGCGAGAGGACACAAGACTTTTCCGAGGGCCACATTGCCATGGGGGATGTAGGAGGCATGGGTCGCGAGGCGCAGGACACAAGGGTACCTAAGGGCACCCTTGATTTGGCAGGGTCGACCTACGAATCAGGGCCGACTGTATGGCCATGAACGCGAATGGTGGTGATAGATGCCTTCGGACGGAGGAGGAAACGGGACGGGCAAGACGCACGGAGAGAGCGAGGGACAGCTGGATGGTTTGGAAAGTCAGAAGGAAAGCATCAGAGCGAGAGCAAACAGATATCCCGCTGCAGGTCCATACCGTATCTTAGTCACCCATATGGAACGAATGAGAGAAAGCTGGTAGCTGGTACACATAAATATGGCGTTGAAGCGAAAGCGAGGGTCGAACATCGTACTCGGAGCGAACCCACATGGGTATCTGAAAAGCGCCGAAAGATGGACCAAAAGGAAAAGATGGAAGGAGAGGGGGGAAGGGAGGAGAGAGGAGCGTGTGTGAGGAGAGATGAGAAGGTGAGAGGCGAGACCCATAGGAGGAGAAGGGGAAATGGCAGGCGAAGAGGTGGTCAGGATCCACACGCTATTTATAATTATATTCATATATATATATATATCGTATCAATTGATCGAACTGCTGGTCGTCTGAAAATTAGCAGCATGGCACATTACTGGGCACTGCCATGATGATAATCAAAGGCAATGACCGTTCCTGGGAAAATCAGGACGTTACATCACTGCTCACTGCAATGAGACAAATCACGCTTAGAGCTTGCTGGGGAACATCTAACTTTAAACCCACCTAGATCACGGCATTCCACAAATTACCCGGTGAAGTACCCCGCCGTTTCTGAGCATTTTGCCAACTCTATATTGGACCGCTCAAGAGAAACAAACATGTTGAAGGACCCGCAGTACGCATGGGCTCTTAGAAGTACACATAATGATGCAAGAATGAGCTGGAGATAGAAGCGTACGGAGGAGGGTGAAAGGGGGACATACATGTTCTGTAACAGCAATAGCGTCGAGCGATACATACGCGGGACAGAACAGCGCCATGCGCTCTACAGCAGAGCAGCGCGTCGCGCTGGGCGAGGCAAGCGTACGGGGTGGCATGGCGGGCCAGAGGCAGCTGAGGATGGGAGGCCACACGGACCAAGACAGCACCATGCGCTGCGTGGCGCAGCGATTCCCGGCGAACTGCGATGCGACAGCGTCGAGCGCTGCGTGACGAGACAGCGCCGCGCGCAATCAGAACTCTACCATTTTGGATGCGAGTCGGCGCCGTCAATTGCATCTCTCGTCGGCGCCCGCGCCAATGAAGCGCCGGCGTATAATACGCTCCCCTCCGCTGAGCGCTGCAAACCCGTCGCTGGGAGACCGCCCGTGAGCCGCGAGGTCCGAAGTGGATCCCCGTGCAACCCCACCCCGCTGGACCTCCCAGGAGACTACGAAAGTGGCGACAGTTGCGCACTTCGTAGCCCCCGAGGGAGCCGCGAGGTCTCAACCGGGCCCCCGTACAACTCCACTCAGCAGAGGAGCCCACAAAAGTGGCGACAACTTCACACTTCACAGCCCCCCAGGGAGCCGCGAGGTCCCAACTGGGTCCCCGTAGAACTCCACTCCGCGCGACCTCACAGGAGCCCAAGAAACAGGCGACAATTCCGCACTTCGCAGACCCCAGGGAGCCGCGAGGTCCCAACTGGGTCCCCGTACAACTCCACTCCGCAGGACCTCCCAGGAGACTACGAAAAAGGCGACAGTTTCACACTTCGCAGCCCACCCAAGAGCCGCGAGGTCCCAACTGGATCCCTGTACAGCTCCACTCCGCAGGACCTCCCAGGAGCCCACAGGAGACAGTTGCGCACTTCGCAGCCCCCCAGGGAGCCGCGAGGTCCCAACTGGATCCCCGTACAACTCCACGCCGCGGGACCTTCCAGGAGCCTACGAGAGTGGCGACAATTGGGCACTCCGCAGTCCTCCAGGGAGACGCGAGATCTCGACGGGGTCCGCGCACCACTCCACTCCGCAGGACCTCCCAGAAGCCCATGAGAGAAGTAGAGAGCAGGAAAGAGGAGAGAGGGAGGCAGGAGAGAGGAGGAAGAGGGAGGCGGGGGAGGAGGAGACTCGTCCACAGTGCTCTGTTCAATTCGAGAACCCAACACAGGAGGGTTGGGAAAAAAATACAACAATCAACAAATAAGTGGATGGCTTGACTATTACTGATATAGATGTTGAGACCGATTGTGAGATCGATGGTGGGATCGATAGTGGGATCGATAGTGAGAACGATAGCAAGGTCGATTGTGAGGCCGACAGTGAAGTCGATTCAATGAGATCGATAATGAGATCGATCGTGAGATCGATCGTGAGATCGACCGTGCGATCTTTAGTGAGATGAACAATGATATCGATAGTGAGATCGAATGTGAGATCGATAATGAAATCGATGGACTGGTGGTTGATGAGATCGATGGTGAGACCGATCGATAAGAAGATCGACCAGGAGCCCGGGAACTCGGAAACCCGGGAACCCCGCCGCCCACCGAAATCGGCCCAGAACCCAGAACCGGGAACCCGGGAACCCGGAACCGGGAACCCGGGAATTGGGGAAAAGCATGCGCACGTTTTAAAATCGCACAACTTTATCGCCACGAACCCACCCCTGCTCAGGCCAAATACGGTTTGAAAGCGCCACGTCACACGCCGAACTCTGCCGTCACATCGCAGGTGGTGGGGTCTCAAATACGCCACGCCCCCACCCCAGAGTCGCGACACATCGTCGCCAACGCATTCTCCACTGCGTCGACACGCTCTGTTACGGCTTAGCTCCCGCAGCGCGGGTGCCACCACACGCGCGTGGGTACTGAAATAAATTGTTCGTACCCGGCTGCACCTCCACATCGGGCCGCTGCTCCCCCTCCCACCAAGTTCGGATACATGTCTACTCGCACTGCGGAACGGGCCCGCTTGTCCACTGGCTGTGACTGGGCAGGCACCTGTGGAAACCTGAGTAAGCAGTTTTCACACAGTACCTCCCATGTCCCTAGCATTCGGCGAGCCCTTGGAGAAATGCCACGGTCCGCTGCATCGCGAGTGTTTCCGCCCTGAACGCAGCGCCAGCTTTCCTAAAGAACATAGACTCGCGATACAAATTCCTCCACGCCACTGTCGTCCCAAAACCCCTACATCACACACACACACACGTCCACCCCTCCTCCCATGGATCCCTCCTGGCACCCACCATCCGTCTGCACGCATAAATGTACAATGGGAAACACACCACCCGTCACAACGTCACGCTCGTCGTCAAAAATTCTTCTTCATCCGTCTCAAGCCTGTTGCAGATACACAGCCGGGAGAAATGTTATAACAAAATGTGCAGTGCGAGCATACTGAAGAATATGCGAAGGACGGCGCCCACAGAAGGATCATTAAGTGAATGTTGGTAGCGTGCGCAAGTGTGCACCATGGCCAAGCTATCGATACATATTCCATAGGTTTGTGCGCCCAGTGGCAACATTGAGAGGCGGATGTAACTGAATGCCTGGATGTGCTTCCAAATCGATCCTCATTGGGTCACAAGAATGTGTGGTTTCAGTTTACGCATTACGGCTTCGTTCCAGCAATGCGATGCTTGCCGTACACCTCGCAGCGAGAGCGCGCTGGTGCTCCGCAACATTGACGGGCGCATGCCCACGTGATGCGTCGGGCCCCACCCGCATTGTTTCAACAGCGTTTCGGCTTCAATCCCCGTGCCGATGATAGGGGAAACCAATAGGTACCGATACTGCTACTCCCTGGACCTCTCCCAGTGTGCGTTGTGACCAGAATTTCGAGGCGAATCCTGTGGTGGCGACGAGGGCCTCCGAGGAGGCCCAAAAGGGGAAAAACGGGGGAAGGGTTAGAGGTATGGATACCTCGTCCTCCTCTGAGATATGGTTATAACTTCTGTCACGGGTGAGAAACCACAGCTGGATCGCCATCAAAATGTGCGTCCCCCTCGAGATTCTGCACCCAGTCTCGGCGCAGAGCACGACGGGGACCTTGTGCTCCCCTCGAGCAGGTGCCGCGCGGCCGTGGAAGGCTTGACCCGCCGCCGCGCTGCGCGCCGTGGACCCGCCACGGCGGGTCACACACGCAGCGTCTCGGATCACAACGGCGTCTTTGAGCACGACATAGGCACAAGGAAAGGCGACACCGACACCACCAGGACGAGGAGATGCGAGGAGGCAAGGGGGGGGTCCCTGCTGGTGTGGTCCTCCCTCTCGCTCGAGACACCCCCAGCCTCCAGCTCGGGCAGGCATCGTGGACCTCCTCGCTGAAGGTGGGCCCCCTGGTGGTGTTGGTGTCGCTTCTTCCCCCTCCGCCCACAGGGCGTAGGATCACACTACGGGCGGTGGGAAACACGGCGCGTGTAAGCGCAAACCGCGCCCAGAAGCACAGCAAGGCCTGTCGGCATCACAATGCCAGAGGTCGCCACAGGCCCAGTCACCACCACAGAGCCCTCACCGCGGTGCCATACGATGGGGCATGTGGGCACAGTGGGGATTGGGAGCACTACGACGCCTACGTACACAAGAACGTGCACTGCAAGGCGCAAGGAAATGCCACACCTACCACACTACCTATGGTGACAGACATGCCTGTGAGCAGGACGGTGTGTCTGTCGGCACCTCAGAGCCCGCGGGCGTCACACTGGTAATGCGCACCGCCGAACCTGCGGGACACAACGCTGCTTGAACTGCTAGCACCGCTAGGCCCGTGAGCACCCCAGCCCTGTGATAATGGCATGTGAGCGCCAGAATGCGCGTGTGACATGCTTTCCAATCAAAACCCTTCGCACGTGTAATGCAAAGGCTTGGCCCGCCACAGGGCACTGCAACACACTGAAGCGTCACGGTTGCGGGGCGTTGGGCGGACACCCGTCAGGGATTATACACTCCAGGCTTCAAAAGATCAAATTCCATGTTGTCCGAGGCGCAAGCATCCGGAAGCCAGCGGCAGGAGTCGGACTCTCGCGGAAGGAGGAATAGGAGGAGTTCGAGAGGATGGACGGAGTGGAGGAGGGGAGGGCGAGCGAGTGGCCAAAGAACCGAAAACACCGCAAACAACTCCAGCCCCAGGCACGGGACCCCCGCGCTTCGCATCGCATCCGCTGCTAAAACCAAGCTCTGCACCATTCGCGTATTATCCTGCGTGCGTTCGCCCTTCAAGAGAAGAGACAAACGGGACCCGAATCCTCGTCATCGAAGTCATTGGCCGAACGAATACCACTCCAAATTAACAACGCACCTCAAAGCAGAATACTTTGCAAGAGCGAGACATGACCTGCACAGGCCAACACAGTATCACGGACGGCCATGTGCTAACACAATGCTCAAATCAAAGGAACACCTGCTGAAAGATCGCTGCTCGCACTGGCTCAGTCCTCGCTTCCAGGGTAGACGTCAAGCGTCCCAGTGAACAGAGGTCCAGGGTGACTGAACTCAATATCAGAGAGAGCGACTTCTATGCACGCTGCACTGGCGGCAAAATCTCCCCCCCGCCGTTAGCACCAGGACAAACGCTCTTCAGAAAATCCTCCCTCCCCACTCCAAAACTGGACCCCACGCCTCCCTGGCGAGAGTCCCCCTGCCTAACCGCTCGGTCACTCTCCCAAAAGTCGAGGGGGTTCGAACCCTCCGCTCGCAACCAGCAAACGGCGTCGGCGACGACAACGACATCGCATTTGCCGTCGTCGTCGTCGCCACTGCCGCCGTCGCCATCTTCGTCGTCGTCGTCATCGTGATCGTCGTCGTCATCGTCGTCGTCGTCGTCTTCGTCGTCTTCGTCGTCTTCGTCGTCGTCGTCGTCTTCGCCGTCGGCGTCGTCGTCGTTTACCGGCGCCGAGCTCGGTCGTGTCGGTCGGGACACGTCGTCGGCGTTCGCCGTCGCCATCGCAGCCAGCCATCGCTGCTGTTAGGGACGCATGCACACGGACAAACGACACCCTCTCGGCAGAAGACCCTCAACAGCTTCACACAGCTACTGTAAGTAATGATCCAAAAATCTCCACCCACAACCTCTTGATGCAAAAAGAAGACAGGCAGATGATAGGATATCTTATACCGAATCAAACTCTGTGTTCGATAGGTGCGTCCACCCTCCCACCTCAGCTGGGCGGGTTCAAGCCACAAATGGCAATAGTAAACAAGAGAGTGCAAACATGAGCGAGCGAGAGCAATAACATAGACTAAACATCATCCTATAACTCAGATCCTTGCTAATGTAACTTTCACACAGGAAAAGGAAACGTTGCTAAAGAATGCCTTGGCAAATTCTGCAGCAATCCTCCAGAATATTGAAGAATAGTATTGGCTCGAACGATCAAACTATCGCCCATGCAATAAGCAACAGATATCAAATAAAGGAAATCCAATACACTCTGCTCGAACGGTCAAACTACCGTCCGTGTATCAATCAACAGATATCAAGATAAAAGAAATCAATACACCGAGCAACAGATGCTAAGATAGAGGAAATCCACGCACTGAGCAACAGATAAGCAAATATTTACCTGAGGTCTGCGCACCGAGCAACAGATATTAGCATATGAAATATTTACCTGAGCTCTTGAGGGGGTGCCTTCACTCCTCATCTGCAGATGGTGGCCAAACATCACTCATCATCTGAAAATGATAACTCAAATCACTCATCATCCTCAGCGCACACGCACTGCTGACTTGATGATGCTGTATGCAATGTAAGCCTTGATGCTCGGGTCGAGACTATAACTCCTGCTCTCGTCTGCGTCCAGTTTGAGACACCGTCCGAGGCAATTTGCGTAGTGCCTGTCCTTCGTATAGATCGTCTCATAGCTGTCGCCCTCGTACTTGCCACTCCTGATTATCATTGGCCCCATGGTCTCCAGCCCCTGCCTTAGTAGAGCACTATCTCCCAACATACTTGGTCCATCTCCCATGATCTCATCGTCATAGATCGCTGGATCGGCTCGTACTGCGAGTGTTGTCGTTGTAGTTTTCGGCGTAGCCTTCGCCGTCCTGGATTTGACCTTGACCTGCTTCTCGGGCAACTCCGGCTTGAAGAGGTTGCCGCTGCTTGAACTATCCACCTCCATCGGATCGAACATGTCCTCGTCGTCGTTCTGCTTAGGCTTCATTACGTAAATAAATAGGATGCTACCCGCGATGATAGAGACTACTGTCACCACCGCAAGAGACATCGAATGACAAACTCCATACACTGCAAGTGCACAAAGTTGAAACAGAACTACAGCTTGGTCAGGTATCTGGATGGTTCTCTGCGCGCCACCTCTCCATCAGGTAGTTGTACGTTAGCTCTTCCGTGTAGAATGCCTCGACGTAGTCCTCATCTTGCTCCTCGTACTTGTCATCGTAGAAGCACTCGTCCACGTAGTTGTACGTCTCCACGGCCACGTAGAGATCTCTTCGTCGTCCTTCCCAGTGTCGTCGCACAGCTCCTGCTTGACGTACTTGGCCATCTTCGCGTTGAGCTCGTCCACCTCCTTGTTGGCTGCCACCTTCTCTGGTCCAACAAGCTTTCGTCCGCGCATTGATGGCGCCCTGTCATCAGGCCCAAGAGTCCACAGGTTTGATACAACAATCTTCCTCGCGTAGCCTCCTGGAAGTACTTTTGTCCAAGTCCGCTAGCATCTGCTCACTCTTGACCCACTTGGTGCTGACCTCTTTGAGTGACTGCCGCAAAATGGCCGCTTCCAAAGAAAGCCTCCTGTCCGTCATAGAAATCTTCTCCTTTGTGATCGCGTCGTATAGGCTCTTGCAGTCGGTCACCGAAATGCATTTCACCGGGCAGGTGTCGCGCACAATCTCGGTCATGTCCATCTCCGGGTACAGGATCTCCGCCAGGGTCGATCTCGTCCATATCAACATGTCCACTGAATCCGCACATGAGTTGGCCTCCGCCGATAGAGTAGATCGCACCACTCGTTGAATCTTGGAAGACTGCCACCCAATGCAGTGTACCTTGTACTTGTTACTGTGGTCCTCGTTGATCTTCTGGTCGCCCAGCATGATGAAGCGTCCGCGTTGTGATCTGTGCTTCGGCAGATTGTCGGAAGCACTGTCGGTGACATTGATCACCATGGTCTCCCACATGTTCAGGCCTGCTGAGAACCTGATCAGCAAGTCGCCCCACTTCTGCATCCGCCCGATGGCCGCGCTGCCGTCCTGTAGGTCCTTCACCGTCGGAGCTCCCAGCGTAGATGCCAGTCGGGATGCCTCGAAAGCCTCTTCGGAGCATATCATCCGCGCAGCCCATTGCAGTTGTCCAACTACCATTCTTAGTCCACGATGCTCTGCATGGGTCAAGGCGCTATCTGGTGCCTTGCTGCGCTCTCTGGAGATACGTATTGTCTGCATCGATTTTACGTAGGCCTCCATGGTGACGTTGATGCTGCCGTCCTCGTCCTGCTTGTAGCCCCGGCCACAGAACGTCGCCTGCTCTTTCCTCGCATACTTGACCTCGCCAAAGTCGATATCCTTCTGCAGGTCCTTCATGATCTTGGCGCCCTCCGGGTCGTCCTGCTTGATACCCATGGGGAAGTCATCCACGCGCAGGCACATGATCCCGATGATCGTGCCCTCCGCATTGCGCTTGATGAAGGTCGCGGGCTCGAAGCTCAGGCCTTCCCATCCAAGCTTCACGAGCGTCTCGCGTAGTGCCACATACCACGCACGAGCTGCATCGCTGATCCCGTAGATGCTCTTGTTTAACTTCAGCAGGTCGCCTGCCTTCACTCCCGGGATGTTGCACTTCCCGAGGTTCGTCGGGATACGAAAGTAGAGCTCGCGTGTGATGGCTTTGCCTTGCAGAAAGGCTCCCTTCACATCCGCGATGACTAGGTCTAAGTTGAGGCTTGATACGATGCTGCACAAGAGTAACGTCATCTGTGCTGAGACTGTAGGTGAGTCCCGTCGTAGCTTGTCGTCAAACTCCTCCTCGTAGCCTCTCCCACAGATCCTGGCCTTCGGCTCGAAGGTCGTGGGGTCCTTATCGGTCCAGACCACCTTGGAGCTTAGGCTCTTGTTCGGGTCGACCTTGTCGACTGCTGCTCCTGATATGTGGGTTGCTGCATCGCACTTGCACCGCGCGTCCCATTCCCTCTCCACCGCCTGCTGCATCTTCTTCCACTTGAGCTTGTCGTCGCCCAGCGTCTTCAGGTTAATATCCTGATGCTTGTTGGCTCTCGTCGGTTGGCTGCACATCCGCTCGGCCACGAACGCCTCGACGAGCAGCGGTGCATCTGCCAGCTGCTTGACTGGCCCAGTTTGCGCCCGGGCTCGTTGGATGCTGATCGGCACATCGCCCAGCAAGAACTCCTTGAGCGTGACTGGGTGCTCCTGGCGCTTGCCCTGCGCAGGCTGTCGCGTACTTGACGATGATGTAGCCGGCTGATCTTGCGGTACCTCTGCTGGTATTGCTGCCATGTCCTCCGCCTTCTGGCGTTCCTCCATGTGCCTCTGGATCCTGGCAGGTACTCGAAGCTGAGCTCGATCGTCCTGAGCGTCGTCCCGTTTGGTTTGCTTGAGCTTCAAGTCCTTATTGGTGTGCTTCTTGCCTCCGCGCTTCGCCTCCTTAGGTTCCTCCATGGTCTCGTCCGCGTTGGTAGGCTCCTGCGGGGCCGCTGCAGGCTGTTGGCCACCTCCTGGTCCATCTCCAGCTTCCTCTTCCTTTCCCAGAGTGATCTCCTCGATGATCATGATGGGGTCTTGTGATACCACATCGTCGATGATCTGAGGATTGGCTATCCAGTCCACTCTCGAGATATATTGAACCAGGTCGCGCGTGTCCAAATTGAAAAGCCGCCGCCTCTCGATATTGTATCCAGGTGTTGGATCAGGTAGAAGAGGGGCTTTCCTGACGTTATCCAACTGCCTCAGGTCGGTCTTGCCCTGGCTGCTGGCCGCCACTGCTCCCAAGATGGCGCCCCAAGCTTGGTGCGCTCGAACAAGTCGTGCTCGTAGATCTTCCTCCGCTTGATCTTGATCAGCTGGCACTGTCTCGTACTCGTCGTCCAGCCTCTGACGCATTGGCATCACGTCGTTATCGTGCACCACTTCCGATCGTCGCTTCCTGCTGTCCGCTGGCTTCGTCAGCTTCCTTGAGCAGGTGCTGCTGGCGCCGTTGTCGGGGCACTCGAGGATGCATCACCTGGTCCTCCTGCTGGCTGCGGTGGAACATCGCCCTGTCCAGGATGCTGCTGATGTCCTGGATCTCGGCGATCTTGATGTTGATCTGGCTGCTGATCTGGC